TGGTTCCTCCTCTCAGTGTCAGAAGTCCCACTAAGGTAGAGACATTTATTTTTATACAGCCTGCATTTAAAGTTTTCTCCTCTAGATTTGTCACATTGTGTCTGTATGTTGTTTTTTTATATCCTTTATGTTATTGGTTTTATTACATTTTAGACCAGACTGACTGGCACCTTTGTGTTTGTTTATTTATTTATTTATTTATTTATTTTGCAGTTTGGGTGTGCCCTTGTTTTCTGTACCTAATGTGTGTGTGTGTGTGTGTGTGTGTGTCTTGTTTTATAGGTGGTGAACAGGTGGAACTCTTTGAATGGCCCGTTGGAGCCAGCAGTCTGGACCAGTGAGGTCTTCAGCACCTGCTGATGACACCATCCTGCATGCTGCTGCACAGAGACTGAGGTTTGAAATAGTTGTTGGAGATTTGTGAATCTGCACCATCGTAAGTCACTTTTTGTAACAGTATAAACAAGAGACTTTTATATTGTGTGCTTTGACTTTGAAAAAAAGGGCAGCACTCTTGTGGTAGCCATGTTGACCCTGATTGATAGATTTTTTTGTTTTTCCTCCTCTGTATGGAGAGAAGAGAGGAGAGTTCTTTGAATAAATGGAGATGAGTTCCCGTGCTCCAACGTTATTTAACTCTGGGTTCTCTCACTGGGCAGGTTTTCAGCCCTCATAGCTCGCACGTTACAGGGAGTACTAATTGAAGGAGGTAAAAAAATTGATCCTTTTTGTTCGAGCATCACTTTTCTGTTTCTCTGTCAGGACTTAAATAAGGATTTTATCTCTTTTTTTTTTTTGTAGGTAAATATATGGTTAAGTAGATAGTTTTGTTTGACAGTACTTAAATTAAATAAAACTAGCAACACATTATGTTCTGTTTTATTTACTTTAAAGAAGTGAGGGGTAGGGAGAGGGAAAAATTAAGTTTTTTGATAATGAGACTGGATGAGTAGCTCTTTGCAAACTGCTGACTTCAAAAGTAGCTCTTGGTTGAAAAAAGGTTGGTCACCCCTGGATTACAGGTTAGTCTGACTGATTATTGAGTCTGTGGACAGGAGACTTTAATACTGGTGACAGTTTAAAACAGGTGTGTTTAATGATAAATAGACTGAACTTTACTGCATGTAACAAGTTGATTAGGAGTGTCTAACTGGTCTGTAGGAAACAGAACTCTTAATGGTTGGTAGATCAAATACTTATTTCTCTTTGCAAAATGCAAATAAATTATAGAATTTATACAGTGTGATTATCTGAATTTCTTTATAATCTTTCTCTCACTGTTAAAATGAACCTACCCTTCAATTATAGACTGTGTCTTTGTCAGTGGGAAAACTTACAAATAATATAATATATTAGTCAGGGAGTATCAGTCAGCCTCCCTGATGGTATGGAGGTGTATTAGTCAGCCTCTCTGATGGTATGGAGGTGTATTAGTCAGTCTCTGATGGTATGGAGGTGTATTAGTCAGCCTCTCTGATGGTATGGAGGTGTATTAGTCAGCCTCTGATGGTATGGAGGTGTATTAGTCAGCCTCTGATGGTATGGAGGTGTATTAGTCAGCCTCTGATGGTATGGGGGTGTACTAGTCAGCCTCTGATGGTGTGGGGTGTATTAGTCAGCCTCTCTGATGGTATGGAGGTGTACTAGTCAGCCTCTGATGGTATGGAGGTGTATTAGTCAGCCTCTCTGATGGTATGGGGGTGTACTAGTCAGCCTCTGATGGTGTGGGGTGTATTAGTCAGCCTCTCTGATGGTATGGAGGTGTACTAGTCAGCCTCTCTGATGGTATGGGGGTGTACTAGTCAGCCTCTCTGATGGTATGGGGGTGTACTAGTCAGCCTCTGATGGTGTGGGGTGTATT